GGGGTGGAAATTCTGATAAACAATTGAACATTAGAAATTGTTACTGAAATAGAATAAGCATTCCTAGAAATGAGAAAAAGGCATTTGAATGGTACTTGAAATCTGCTAAAAGCAAAAATTTCAATAGACAGCTAAATGTTGGAAATTGTTATCAAAATAAAATAGGCATTCCTAAACATAAAAAAAGAGCATTCGAATAGTACTTGAAATCTGCCAAGGGTGAAAATTCCAATAGACAATTGAATGTTGGAAATTGCTACCAAAATGGGATGGGCATTCCTAAAGATGAAAAAAAGCATTTGAATGGTACTTGAAATCTGCTGAAGGTGGAAATACTGATGGACAATTAAATATTGGAAAATGTTACCAAGGCAGAATAGGTATTCCTAAAGATGAGGAAAAAGCATTTGAATGGTATCTAAAGTCTGTTGAATGTGGAAATTCAGATGGACAGTTAAGTGTTGGAAATTGCTATCAAGATGGTGTTGGTGTTCCCAAAGATAAGAAAAAGGCATTTGAATAGTACTTGAAGTCTATTAGAGATGAGAATTCAGATCAGTTAAATGTTGAAAATTGTAATCAAAATGTCATAGACATTTCTGAAAATAGATCAGCAATAACTTCAACACCTTCGATATTTAACAAGAAGTGTATGAGAAAACAACCTTTTTCAAATATGCGGTCAATATCAGGACAAAATAAACGATTGGTTGCCTTTGAAAAGGATTCTGCAAAAAAAAAACTTTTAGAACTAATTACAAATCATCATTTAGTCTCCAAAAATGAACAGCCTGCTATTCATATTCATAATATTCAATTAAACGTTAATGATAATATAATTAATTTAAATTATCAACCGTTTAATCAAGAAATAGAACTTGTTAAGTTGGATGCCATTGTTCGAGCATGCGATGAATCTTTGTTATCTCGAGATGGGTACCGTCAATTGGCTGCTGTTGAGCTACGACTTATTCGAGAACATCAAGTTGCTGCCCGGAGAATTGAAATAACGAACTTAATGAATGAGAAAATTAGAATTAAAACCTTCAATATTGATAAGGTCATGAATTATTCTAGCCCTGAGGATAACACTTTACTTGAACATAGTGAAAAAATATTGGTTGAACATTCAGAAATAGGAAACGGCACTTATAGGTCAATCAAATCTATTTTAAATTGTCTTCTTCCTATTTGGAAACAATCTTTTCCACCTACTCTTATTCTAGAAGATACGCTTATGTTGAAGCTTGGAGGTGACGGTTATAATGTAGGTCGCAAACAAAACTATGTAATGGTAACATTTTGTCTTTTAAACGAAGGTAATAGGGTTTTGAAGCCTGATCATCAATATTAGTATGTTTTATATACAATTTTAATTATTTGTTATATAATTTTAAAATTTTTATTTGTTATTATTTAAGTATTGGTCTGTATGTCGGGAAAGAAAATTATGATGCATTGGCGAAGGTTGGATATATATTCGAACCTCAGCTTTTAGACCTTAGAAATAATGGTTTTTTTTAATTGTGATGGTATTCATTGGCCAGTAGAACTGTATTTCTGTGGAGATTGGAAATTCATGTATATAATAATGGGACTAAAGGCTCCGAATGCTGATTATTTTTGCTTGTATTGTAATTGTGATGCAGCATCTTGCTGGGACATGAATCAAGATTGGGCTAATATTATAATTACCGGTATATAGTAAAATATTTAAAATTTTTAATTTTTGACTATTTTACTTTACGAAATATTAGTATCTTTAAATATGAATTTATTAATTATATTTAGATATAGATTTCATGCGTGTGCATGATTCTGAATCGTGCACATTTATGCATATTCATGTGCATGTTTCTGAATCATGTGCATTTTATTCTATTGAAAAATTTATTTTGTTTTTTATCATGTATGCATTAATGTGTATGATTTTAAATCATGTGTTTTTATCCTATCTTTAATTATATTTTATTTACTAAAATCAGCTTAAAGAAATTAACTTAGTAGAGTCAATTTGTGCCCTTATACATATATAAATTTTGGAAAATTATAGTTTGTTTTTTAGTATAATTAATTGATAGATTTGGAAGTAAAATATCCAAAAATTAAGAATTTAATATTTTAATTCTACTGCAGCTAATTGTTTTAATTTTTTTTAATTAGGTGTTAAAAAACTGGCTTTATTTCTAGTGATTGTTCAAGAAAATTTTATACCAGACGAGTTGTATTTGCTTTTACAAATATCAGATATCTTAATAGAATGTTTTTTTAATAACTTGTTTAAAAAAAAAAAGTTTGAAAAACAAATTAAGTCGAATATTGAAGCATCATTTAAAGATCTTGGAATTCAGTTTGAATTTTCTAAATTAACTGGTAACAAGTGGAATTGAACTTCTTTAATAGGCCCTGATAAAAAAAAATATTAGAAAAATTTCCAATAAATCAATTTATTTCTGGCATTCGTGGAAGAGATATCGAACAGCTATGGCATGAATTTTACTGATTATATAATGTTCTACGACAATTACAATTTTCTGATCAAGAAATTTGTCACTATAAAATCGATGCAGAAAATTAGATTCGATTCTTTTGCCATCTAACTCAGGGTCATATAAATTTATCACAAGATTCTGGGCTTTACCAGAAGGCAGACGTTACACCATATATGCATATATTTGCAAAACACATACCTTTGTTTATGTAGCAATTAAAAGCAAAAGGTCTTTTTTTGCAATTTTTTTCTACTTCAAGTATTGAGAAAAAGAATCATAATCAGATAATATGGGCTTCAAATAAAATTATATTTACATGAATTATTTTTTAATAAGTTTATTATTAGGTTCGGCTATTTTTTGAAGGCACTACTATGGGAGGAGGAAATAAAAAAAATCTGTCATCTACGATATAATGTCTTCTGAAAATCGGCAGCTTTTTTATTTGATTGAAAATATTCCTAAAGAAATCAATTTTCGAAACATTAATGCTAGTAATAAAGAAAATTCATCACCAGTTATCAGTGAAGCAAATGCAACCGAAATTGCTTCATAGATTGATAAAGAAAACAAATTGCTTTTTGTGGACTAGAGAATGTTTTACCAAAGATTCATTTTGGAATTTATGCAGTAAGCCAATATATCTTATTGTAGTTATGAAGGTTAATGGTATTAACAAAATTCTTAGTAGATATAATATATCGATTGGGATAAATCAGTTAATTGGCTTAGTAATGCAATGATAGCTTTAACGTTTTATAGAATTAGAGATGATTTTATCAGATTCATTTTTGGAATTTATAATATATCTTGTTGTAGTTATGAAAGTTGATGATACTAATAAAATTCTAGTTAGATATAATCTATCAGTTAATTCATCTTTGAAATTTATGTGATAAGCTAATATATCTTGTTATAAATAAAAGTTGGTAGCACCGAAAAAATTCTGGATAGATATAATCTATCGGTTAGAATAATCAGTTGATTGATTTAGAAATTCTATGATAGTTTTAGAATTAGAGATGATTTTACTAAAACTAACAATTTATTTTTAGAATTTTTGTGATATGATATGCGATAAGCCAATACATTGTAATTATAAAGATTAATAGATGAAATTCAAAGTATATATAATATATCGGCTTAGATAAATCAAAAAGGTATAATTCAATATTTTATTCTAAGCTATGTAATTATTTTACAACTAAAGGTGTTGTCGCAATGCCGTAATTGGTCATAATTATAATGAATTATGACAAAAAAAATTGCTATAATTCATTATAATTACGAACAATTATGGTATTGTGACAACACCGCTATTTACAACATTATTCTTTTAGTCAAAAAAAGTAATCATTACAGTATTAGGCCAAACTATTCTTCTAAATTTTTTAAAGTATTTATTTTAATTTAGATCAATTAGATTACAATATGTGAATATTACATCAAAATTATCTATCTTCATCATCTACCATGATATCCCACTGTTCCAAAATGCTATCTTATAATAGGAAAAATATGAATCTTTGTGAAAGAGATAGAGATATAAATATATTTTTTTTCAAATTCAGCGATGTTTTTTATTTATCATCTTAGTGAATTTTTAATAATAAACAATAATCAATTACAGTTTGATAAATATTAATAACAACTATCAAGTGCAAATATGTATCAAAAATGCCAATCTCAATGGATACCTTATATCTATTTAATTCTATTGATTTATTATAATAAATAAATGTGATAGTCTTTTCAAAATTATCTATCTTAGTAGAATTTTTTTTTAAAAAAAAAATTTGACATTTGGTGCATAAGAAAACGATATAGACTTACGTGACTAATACTAATTGCATTAACTATATTAACAGATTTGTATAATTGATTATTTTATTAAATCGAATTTTAGCCGATACCAATAAAAATATATAAATCAAACATCTTTACCTGTATATACGATCTATCTGTTGAGTTGTTGAAAAAGTACACAAGTAGTATAAGCTTATAATTTCTTTAACTTTGAGTTGATTCTTTATTATTCGAGGAAGCCTTGTGCGAATCAATATTATGAACTTGCAGATTTGATGCTTGCGGAGTAGTTTGATTTGTTTGGGTGACAGCTGTTCTTAGAAAGTGAGTATTAAAAAATAAATAAAAAAATAGAGAAAAAAAAATTTCAAGAGATTATCAGCAGATTCCACATTCCAGCTCATACCGTTCAGAAAATTCTCTTGAATCCGCTACAAATTTACAAGTGACAGTGCCACATTAAAAGATACAACTATTCTCTTTTAATTTTGACTGTGACCAATTAAAATCAACTCCATAAGAACTTTCATGATCCATGAATAAAACATAACCAACGGTTTTTAATTTTGGATCTTGTTTAATATTCTAATGATTATAGTTAACTAACTGTTTTAATCTATATTCACCAGCCTCACCCTGAAATGAACAAGAATACTTCCATTGTACAGGACTATATCAGAATAAAGGCTCATGTTCAAAGAGATAAACAAAAACGTTTTCTAGATAGGCATTAATAGAGACTTTTTTTGTGCCTACTGCATGTCTATTAAAACCAAGACGCTTTTTGATAAGAACTATAAATGCATCTTGATAAAATGTGATTTGCTCAAGAAGAGGTCGAATAAGTGAATAGCAGTGAGGTATAATTTTGTTGTTTTGATGCTTGGTTCTTTCATGAATCGCAAGCTTTTTTTGCGAAGAAAAAATTTCATAACAAAGTTGGCATTTATTATCCATTATAAAGTATAATCTACTACATCAGCAAATTTAATGAGGTGAAATATTTGAAATAATTTACGAAATGTAAAAAAAGCATAATATTGCGTAAACTATTTCGAATTAATGCAAAATATCAAAATTACG